CCTAGTCAGTAACCTATAGCCATGAATATGCTTGAAAATGTGTATGTTTTTGCAATTTTGACCTATAAACATGTTTAATATGCTAAATATGAGTTGTTTGATTGATAAAATCTTATAATGTAGCAAAAACAAAGAATATGGCTAAGGTAGAATGCCATTTAAGCCATTTTATCCTACTCATGAACCTATAGCCTTGAATATGCATGAAAATGTGTAAGTTTTTGCAATTTGAACGTATAAACATGTTTAATATGCTAAATACGAGTTGTTTGATTGATAAAATCTTATAATATAGGAAAAACAAAGAAAATGGGTAAGTTAGAATACCATTTAAGCCATTTTAGCCTAGTCATGAACCTATAGCCATGAATATGCTTGAAAATGTGTAAGTTTTTGCAATTTTAACCTATAAACATGTTTCATATGCTAAATATGAGTTTTTTGATTGATAAAATCTTATAATGTAGCAATAAAAAGGAATATGGCTAAGGTAGAATGCCATTTAAGCCATTTTAGCCTAGTCATGAACCTATAGCCATGAATATGCATGAAAATGTGTAAGTTTTTTCAATTTGAACCTATAAACATGTTTAATATGCTAAATATGAGTTGTTTGATTGATAAAATCTTAGAATGTTGCAAAAACAATGAAAATGGGTAAGTTAGAAAGTCATTTATGCCATTTTAGCCTAGTCATGAACCTATAGCCATGAATATGCATGAAAATGTGTAAGTTTTTTGCAATTTGAACCTATAAACATGTTTAATATGCTAAATAAGAGTTGTTTGATTGATAAAATCTTAGAATATATGAAAAACAAAGAAAATGGGTAAGTTAGAATGCTATTTAAGCCATTTTAGCCTAGTCATGAACCTATAGCCATGAATATGCATTAAAATGTGTAAGTTTTTGCAATTTGAACCTATAAACATGTTTAATATGCTAAATATGAGTTGTTTGATTGATAAAATCTTAGAATGTTGCAAAAACAATGAAAATGGGTAAGTTAGAAAGTCATTTATGCCATTTTAGCCTAGTCATGAACCTATAGCCATGAATATGCATGAAAATGTGTAAGTTTTTTGCAATTTGAACCTATAAACATGTTTAATATGCTAAATATGAGTTGTTTGATTGATAAAATCTTAGAATGTAGCATAAACAAAGAGAATGGGTAAGTTAGAAGCCATTTAAGCCATTTTAGCCTAGTCATGAACCTATAGCCATGAATATGCTTGAAAATGTGTAAGTTTTTGCAATTATAACCTATAATAATGTTTACTTGCTAAATATGAGTTGTTTGATTGATAACTTTTTAAAATATAGCCAAAACAAAGAATATGGCTAAGTTAGAATGCCATTTAAGTCATTTTAGCCTAGTCATGAAATTATAGCCATGAATATGCATGAAAATGTGTAAGTTTTTACAATTTGAACCTATAAACATGTTTAATATGCTAAATATGAGTTGTTTGATTGATAAAATCTTAGAATGTTGCAAAAACAATGAAAATGGGTAAGTTAGAAGGTCATTTATGCCATTTTAGCCTAGTCATGAACCTATAGCCATGAATATGCATGAAAATGTGTAAGTTTTTTGCAATTTGAACCTATAAACGTGTTTAATATGCTAAATATGAGTTGTTTGATTGATAAAATCTCATAATTTAGCAAAAACAAAGAGAATGGGTAAGTTAGAATGCCATTTAAGCCATTTTAGCCTAGTCATGAACCTATAGCCATGAATATGCTTGAAAATGTGTAAGTTTTTGCAATTTTAACCTATAATAATGTTTACTTGCTAAATATGAGTTGTTTGATTGATAACTTCTTAAAATATAGCCAAAACAAAGAATATGGCTAAGTTAGAATGCCATTTAAGTCATTTTAACCTAGTCATGAACCTATAGCCACGAATATGCATGAAAATGTGTAAGTTTTTGCAATTTGAACCTATAAACATGTTTAATATGCTAAATATGAGTTGTTTGATTGATAAAATCTTAGAATGTAGCAAAAACAAAGAAAATGGGTAAGTTAGAAGGTTATTTATGCCATTTTATCCTACTCATGAACCTATAGCCATGAATATGCTTGAAAATGTGTAAGTTTTCGCAATTTGAACCTATAAACATGTTTAATATGCATAATTTGTTTTGTTTGATTTCAGGAAGCCTACCAAAATAAGCTTGACGAGTCTTCCACTCAAAAAGGGTCACAACCGGACCCTAACCAGCTATACTGGGAGGTCTTTGGTGGTAGGAAAAAGGGTGTAGTGAAGGGCCTAGGTTCAAGTGCTAGTTTGTTTTACACCCCCTCTTCCGAGAAAGGCTCGCAATCGTACAATCCTTCTATAGCTTCACAGTTGGAGGAACGTATGCAAGCCGAGATTGCCGAGCGAATAGAGGAGGCAAAAGTGCAAATGCAGGCACAGATGGAGGCACAGTTTGCAACGCAATTGCAAGAGGCATTGAAGAAGGAGCGGGAGGAGGCAGCAATAGAGAGTAAGCGAATGATGGAGACAATGTTGCAGAACTTGTTCTCTAACTATTCAGGTGGTCCTCCATTTCAGTTTCGTAGGGAAGATGACCCGGACATGAGTGGTGGTGGGCTTGGTCACCAGACTCCGGTGTCGTAGTTTTTGTTCATAAAGCTCTTACATTAGTATTGTTGATATAGGCCTTAGTATTTTTTGGGGGGAATATAGGCCTTAGGTTTTTTTTGGGGAATATATGCCTTAGGTTTTTTTTGGGGGGGGGGGATATAGGCCATTTCGTTATTTTTTGGGGAATATAGGCCTGAAATTGGTATTTTATTGTTACATGTTGGCCTTATTTATTTTTTGAAGGAACATAGGCCATTACTTATTCATATAGACCTAACTTAGTTTTAAAGTTAAGCTTATAAAACTATTACTAACTAATTATTATTACTATTAACTTGAACATTATTATTGTATGTATTGTTCGAAGTTGGACTTTTTAATTATTAATATTATTATCTATATGAATTATGCATTTTATTTTTATTTTATATTAATTTTGAAATTAAATCACATGATAACAGGTTATAGGTTCAGGTTAGGATGGCATCGATAATGCAAATTGTAATTATTTGAAATTGCATTATAATAATAAATTGCCCTGTTGCAATTCTATGAGGAATTGCGACCGTTTATCTAACCTGTCGCAGATCCCATGTTTTTGCGACCGTCAGGGCCTGTCGCAGATCACAGGAATTTGCGACCGTCTTAGGCGGTCGTAATTTACTGGAAATTGCGACCGTCAATGCCTGTCGCAGATCACAGTAATTTGCGACCGTCACAGGCGGTCGTAATTTACTGAAAATTGCGACCGTCAATGCCTGTCGCAGATCCCCGAGTTTTGCGACCGTCTTAGCCGGTCGTAATTTTCAGTAATTGCGTCCGCTTTGCCTGTCGTAAATAACAATTGGGAATAGCGACCGTTTTCCTCAAAAATTGCGACCGGTGCTGGCGGTAGCAATTCAGTGGTTTTTTTGTAGTGTAATTAAATGTCCACAAACTATTCTTAAAAGCTTAAAAAAAAGTTGCATACTACTAATGGAGGTAATTAAGTAAATAAACATTTTAGAGGTTATAATTGTTCAAACACTACTATTTATAAGATTTATCTCATATTTTTTAAAGAAGAAGTTAGGGATAAGATTGTTTTATCATCACTACTCATTTTATTTGGTGTAAAAAATTTAAATTTACACTATGTACTACCAAACTTTGACCTAATTTTTAACAAATCCTCAGATTAAAAATCATCAAATGATATGTCATTTATTTTCCAAAAATGAAATTTTCATCATTTGTTAAATTACGAAATAAAGATATCCAACGATAACATGCAAATAAAATGATCTACGGAGTAATATATTATGATCATTTTTTTTTGAGGTTTATATCATCATAAATAATGTGACCCAAACATAGTTTTAGTACGTACATGTTTGTTTGTTTGTTTGTTTTTAAAGACCGATTTTATAACTTGATTCATTCGGATTTTGGGCGCAATTACTAGCTCTCATTACAATCCAATTCAAAAAATTCAATTAGACCTTATATTAAACAAGGAACTAAAAAAACGAAAAGAGTTCAAATTTTTTTTTTAAAAAAAAAAAATTTCAAAAAATCAAAATCAATAACATATTTGAGGAGATCTAATTTTTCTCTTGATGAACAAATAATAAGTAGTCCACAGCAAAATCTATACTATATACTTAAGTAATCACCGGAGGGGATATTTGGCATAATTTTGTGAAAAATAATAATTGATTTATATATTTATTATATCAACAACTATATATAGGATCATTTAAATAATAACTAATTGATATATTTACAATTTTGCCACATAATAATCAAAGAATTGAATAAGATGACTAGATTAGACCCTCTCCAATGGTGAGACTCAAGTGAGTATTTTTAGGAGAGAGAGAGTATTTTTGTAATGTATACCAATAAGTTGGTATCTAAACTTAGCAACTCCAAAAGAAAGTTGCTAACTCAACTGAGTATTTTTAGGAGAGAGAGAATATATTTGTAATGTATACCAATAAGTTGGTATCTAAACTTAGCAACTCCAAAAGAAAGTTGCTAAGTTTAGATACTCAATTTTGAGTCTCATTTGACAAAAAGTGTGGACCCCTTGTCAATATTTTAATATATTTTGTAATTTATTTAAGTTTTATCTTTTTTTTATAATCTTACAATATTTGATAATATAAAAGAAATGGATTTGGTGAGCCATAAATTGAAAGTAACATTTGTATATTTTAGAGAGTCTCGTCATTGAGAAATTAGTCTTTACATGAGTTGCTAAATTGAAAAGTGAGTATGGTATCATCATCGAAGGTAAAAAACAACTCATTTTGTATTTCAATCCTCGCCATTAAAGATGGTCTTAGAATAAAGTATAAACCGGTTCGGTTAGAGTTTTTTTAGATAGGTGAGCTGTGAGCAGTCCATCGTACTGATAAGTGTGATTAACTGATTAGAGTGCAAACCAAAAATGCTTATTTAGCAAATGTAAACTCCCTTTGGAAAGAATATCCCCTAATTAATGTAAATCACTTTCTCTGATTCATTCTCTCTATTTTCCCTGTTTCACCTGTACATTGCCATTTGCCATGACAACCCCAACAAAGTCCACAATACATGATCTTCCTTCAATTTTGTCTTCTACTGGAACACATTTTCTCCTTCGTAACAACCTTCTTCAGGTACCCTTCTCTCTCTATTTCAACATGCTTAGCATTTTTGGAGCTTATTCATTGCTATATAATATTTCTCCATTTCTTAATTTCAATTTTCTTCAATCAAATTCTGTGATCCCCTTTTTTAATTGCTGCAAATTTAAACAAATTTTTACAATTTTAACTTCCGTTGACTTTGGGGAGAATCATTTTGAGGTTCAATGCTACATAGTTGATTTTAATTTGTGGGTTTTGATGAATATCAGTTCATTTCCCACGATTTTGAGAAATTTTGATATTTAAGTTGTATTTATGCAATAAAATTAAGCCAGTTTATGCAGTTTTCTGTTTAGCATGTGAAAAACTTTATTAGAGAGGACTGATTGACAAATGGGATCTTTCGATATGTTTAAATTAAGTTATAGTGTAATTCTTTGGATTTTATTGATCAATTTTGTGTTATAGTTAATATTGTTGGAAATTTTGTGTTTTCCCCGGATACACAAGAACAAACATGAACAAGAAATTACTTAATAATTAACATAGTAATTTGAATTGGTGTATAAGGGGTAATATGGAACCACTGACTTAGAAATCGATAATATATGTTACTCGGACTCTTCATTTCACCCCACGTACTGGTGTCGAACCCTCGACACTCGGACATGGGTATGACACCCGGATACTTCACTTCTAGTTCAAAATCATGGAATTTTTTCACAAAATAGCCGAGTTGGACGCTTGGACACGTACCCATGTTGGACATGGGTATCCGAGTCCAAGTAACATAGACGATAATTGAGCCCAATTAGTGTGCTTAATTTTATTCAGCTATTCGTTCCTATATTCACACATGACTATACTCACTCTTTGAATAAAATAGAAAATTACTCTTTAAATATACTCATAGAAATCAGATTATTGATCTTGTTTAAGAGTATTAAAGATAGAATGTAATGTAAGAGAAACAATGCAAAATTGAATTTTCCACCAGATTATCAGTGTTTCAATTTGTGCCCTATTTGAGTGGCATTGTCCCGGTGGTTGGGGGAACTTCCGACCTACAATTTTATTTCGCCACAATGTCAAAGTGCGTCGTATAGTTTAGACGAAGTTTATTTCCAGCTTTTACTAACATAAAAATGATGTGAAACATCTACATATGATGAAAAGTTTACTGAATATGCAAGTGAAAGGTATTTTATGAGGCGAATTTCAGCCACAAATATACTACAATGCTATATTGGACTATCGGCTCTACTGTAACATTGAGTTTTCTTGTATCGTCCTAAAGGATGAGTTAGATTGGTCTCTTTGTAGGGGCTAGCCATATAGAATAAATGTAATGGTGTAAATCAGAATAACTAATGAATTCAACTTGATAAATTTCAGGAATGTTTGCTTACTCACTCATTTTTGAAGTTTGTGATTTTTGTTTGGTTCTTTGGTGTCATCTCCAGTTTCTTTGTTGAGTTCAATTTGATGTATGGTCTTTGTATGCAGGTCAGTATTGATACTTTGAAAGGAAAGAAAGTGGGGCTATACTTTGCAGCATCTTGGTGTGGGCAGTGTCGCCGTTTTACCTCAGTTCTTGTTGAGGTTTATAATAAGCTTAAATCTCAGGAAAAAGATTTTGAGGTTGTTATAATCACAGCAGATGAGGATGATGAATCGTTTGACAAGTGCTTCTCGAAGATGCCCTGGCTGGCCATACCGTTTTCTGATTCAGAAACTTGTGATAATCTAGATAAACTGTTCAAGGTGGAAGAAATTCCACACCTTGTAATCCTAGATGAAAATGGTAAGATTCTTACGGATAATGGTGTTGATATTATTCGTGATTATGAAGCCGAAGGGTATCCATTCACTCCAGTAAGAATCAAGATATTGAAAGAGCAGGAGGAAACGGCTAGGAAGGAACAAACCTTAAAGTCTATATTGGTGTCTAGTTCTCGAGATTTTGTGCTCTCCACTAATGGTAAAAAGGTACTCCTCATCTAATTAGAATGTGTTAGTAGTTTTTAACTTGGTTGAAACTTGAAATAGTAAATAATCTTACAGTGTAAGATATGCTAGAAAATTATTGCTTGAAATATACAATTACTGCAGTCTACAAATTCTGAAGGCATTTTTCAGTCCAATGGGGGGGGGGGGGGGGTTGTATTGCATAAATCATTAGTTGTGCCAACTGTGGCAGAAATAGGATTGCCCTCCTCCGTAGAAGGGTTCTGATTTCAGGGTCCTCTAACATGGAAAAAATTGTCACGTTTGTCCTGAAAAGTAAATTTAGTACAGACTGGGGAGGGGTTTTTCTAAAACCAAATTCGATACTAGCAGTCATCATTAAGTATTGCTTCCCTAGCTACAGCATCTCCTAGTTGTTTTGCATTTCTTCCTCCGAATTCTGAAGGCATCTTGCTCTGCAAAAATGCAGGTCTCTGTTTCTGAGCTTGAAGGCAATACTGTCGGTCTATATTTCTCATTGTCTTCATACAGATCATGCATGAATTTCACTCCAGTACTAGTAGATGTTTATAAGAAGTTGAAGGCAAAGGGGGAGAATTTTGAGATTGTTTTAATTTCCCTTGATGATGACAAAGAACTATTCAGCCAGGGATTGGCCAGCATGCCTTGGTATTCTATGCCTTATAAGGACAAGATTTGTGTCAAACTGGCTCGATATTTTAATCTCTCAACTCTTCCCACTTTGGTGATAGTAGGACCAGATGGGAAAACCCTTCATACTAATGCAAAAGAGACAATAGAAGATCATGGAGTTGAGGCATACCCTTTTACATCAGAGAGGTTTCAGGAGCTTGCACAGATAGAAAAGGCAAGGCAAGAGGCTCAGACCCTTGACTCCATTCTAGTATCAGAGAAGCAGGATTTTGTTATAGATAAAATTGGCACAAAGGTAATATGTTAAATGATTTTTAGTAATACGGCTCACATAATTGCTTATCTTATTATCTTATGTTAAAGCTTGAAATTATATATAGATATGGCATACCAACAAATCAGCAATGTTGGTGAAGTCAGAAATTACTTTGTGCTTTATCTGCTACAGTTATTTATATCTGACTTGTATAATTGCTTAGTCCCTGGGAATTTATCTTATGAGTTCTTTGATTTGATTCTTCTTCCAAGTTTTATCTGAACTCTGAGTCATAATAATGATGTGTACTTAATTATTCTAATTTAATTTCTGCAGGTTCCTGTCTCCCAGCTTGTAGGGAAGAACATCCTCTTGTACTTTGCTGCACATTGGTGCCCTCCATGTCGAGCATTTCTTCCAAAACTTGTTGAAGCTTATCAACATATAAAGTCAAGAGATAATAACTTTGAAGTGATCTTCATCTCCAGTGACAAAGACCTAACTTCCTTCGACGAGTTCTTTACTGCAATGCCCTGGTTAGCTATTCCATTCGGTGACAACAGAGAGGCTTATCTAAGTCGTTTATTCAAGGTATATGGGGCTCCTAAATTGGTTGCAATCGGACCTAACGGGAAAACCATCACAACAGAAGCCAGGGAACTCATTATGGTTCATGGGGCAAAGGTTTATCCTTTTACCAATGAGAGGTTGAAAGAAGTTGAATCTGAACTCGAGGAGATGACTAAGGGGTGGCCCGAGAAGGTGGAACATGCTCTTCATGAAGAGCATACACTTCTGCTCACAAGGCGTAATGTATATAAGTGTGATGGTTGTGAGGAAGATGGGCAGTTATGGTCCTTCAACTGTGAAGAATGCGATTTCGATCTACACCCAAAATGTGCACTGACAGAGGTTAATGGATTCAGAGATCATAATTTGAAGGATCATGAAACTTCAAGTGCTGGGTGGAATGATCATGTGTGTGTTAGTGCATCATGAAAACTTGTATTGATGCATTTTCTTAAGACCTAAAATTTATAATTTTACTGTAAGTCTGTAATTATGTTGTGAAGAATTGAGGAAAACTAGCAGAGAAAGGCAGATCAAGGTGCTATTTTAGTAAAGCCCTTGCTGTTGCATCAGTTGTAGTTCGGCGTTGTAAATTTTGTTGAGAGCTTTTCTTTTTCTTTCTTTCTTGAGTTTCTTCTGTCCTCATAAGTTTATGTAATTGATCCTGTTTGGTAAATTCATTCCTCTGTTATAATAATCAAGGTTGACATGGTTTTCAAATGGACTGTGAAACTGTTGCAAGCATTGATCACAATAGACACGCTTATCTTGATTGCAGGTTCTATCCTATAATCTAATTGTACCACATACTAGCCACTAGAAATCTAGATTCTAGAATGGATGCCAACTAACTAACTTGATTAAAGTCTTATGATATGCAAGTATGGTACCAAAAGTTAGGATCAAATCTCGTCTATATACATCAACCATCGCTGCTTTTTTTACACCAAAAATAAAGGTCACCAGTAGGGATGATACAAGGACAAGGATAAAAGATATAAACCGATAAAGAACAAAATGTACTACAGTTATTTACACCTTTTATTGTAAGACAGTTATATAAAAAATGACATGTGACATCTTTTTTCTAAAAAAAAATCACGCCACAATATGACTGAACAGTATGCAACTCCTATAGCAAGACATTAACCCATATGACACTAACCGAGTAACACGAGTAACCCTTATAACACTGAATGGGTAACCTCTATAACTTTGAAAAAGTAAACCCCATAATAGCATTGCATGGCCACCGACATAAAAGAGGAAGACCCTATTTTTTGAGCTTCTAAGCAAAGCATAGAATATCATATTTAGCATAGCACAACAGGTGTCAGCATATTATTAATACGATTATTAATACTCAATGCAATAGAGCTAATTAGGGTTCAACAGAACCGACCATTCCAAAATCGACCATTATAGCTCAAGTCTAAATTACAACATCAAAATCAACTTTCCATATTTTAAATATATTTTTTCTTATATATCCCGTGCATTTTGCACGGGTACACTCTAGTAATAATAATTGCATAGTACTTTGTTAAATAATAATAATGTCCTTTGTTAAATGTCCTTTAAGAAAGAAATAATAATAATCCTTTCTTAAAGGATATTAATACAAAGTAATATGCAATAATACTTCCCTATATATAACTTTGAGACGTAATCCATTTATACACATAATTAGCCTTCTGGTCCGTGCAATGCACGAGTTATTCATATAAAATTGTATTGAGAGATAAGTGAGGAAATATCAATAAGTTATTATAGGGTATAATATAAAATCGGAAACATAATTAAAGAAATTAAAATTTTGGAACTTTAATCGAAAAAGAGGCTTAAATAAAAGGTGGAAGGACTAAAATTAAAGAGAGAATAGGAAAAGCTTTAATTAAAGGAGAGAAAGAGATGAAGTGTGTATGAAATATGAAGTATTCCATATAAGTTTAATGAAAGAATTAAAAAGAATGGTGTAATAAAAAAATTAATAGTGTAAGATGACATGTGGCACTATGATTAGAAAAGTGTAATAGAATGGATGAGGATATGTGTCTTTCTTAGTTTCTTGGTTATAGTTTTTAAATACTAAGGGCCTGTTCTTATTGATTGAACTCAGCTGAACTGAACTGAACTGAAATGAATATTTTATAAGAGAAGGAAATTAGGAGCTGAACTGAACTGGAGTGAACTGAGCTGAACTGAACTGAACTAAACTGAGCTGAACTGAACTGAATTTCATCGTAAGAGAACAAGCCCTAAGTATAGATTAGTCGTTCATATACTTCTACTATTACATGAAAATTATCGTACATGGCACAAAACCTAATTTAATAATTAAACTAATCTATTGTACGTCAATGTTTTGAGTAAAATTTATTTTAGAAAAATGGTAACTTTTGTAATATATAAGAGTAACTTTAAATACTTGTAAGGTGAATCAAACTCGTCTTGCAATAACTTTATGAAAGTCCGTCAAATTTTTTTTTTTTTTTTTGGAAGAAAGATAGTCTGATAGGGCATATATATTAATTTCAGGAAAGTCCGCCGAATTTGTAATCATTACTTTATGGTCTTTATCCTTATTTTGTAGCCAACAATCAAATATCATATCATAGCATAACACTTCATATCACTAATATATAAAGCTGGTCTCACATCCACGTCACGAGATAGTAATACTTGGCATTTCAGTTTTTCGCCAAGCGTCGTGCTACAGAGGCAACAAATAGTATACTAAATAATCAAATTTTGGAGGGATTTTTGAAGATAAAAATGTTGTATAGAGTTTTATTATCGATACACGACTAATATTTCGTATATACAAAAATAATCATATTTTAAAAAAAATCTAGGGCTTGTTTTGGCATCAATTTTGGTTTTCAGTTTTTTGTTTTTTTTGAAAACCAAAAACAGGAAACAAGAAAAAGGTGTTTCCACTTTTCTGTTGTCAGTTTTCAAAATTATCATAATTTTGATAAGTTTATATAATTTTTGATTTATTATGGGACACATATCATATACTTTTAGAAAACAAAAAACCGAAAAACAGAAAACCACAACAATGCCAAACGAACCCCTAATAACTCGATTCTATTTCCATCATAAAATTCAATATATATATATATATATATATATATATATATATATATATATATATATATATATATATATATATATATATATATATATATATATATAATAGAGAATTAGTAAAAATAAGTTGTAATCGGTAAAACTTTCAGTTATAAAAATATTTAAGTATAATGTCGCTTGTTCAAATATCTTGCATTATCAAAAGTGGTTATATGATCGTATTTAATAATCAAACAAAAAGGTTTATCGTAAAATTAAGGAAAATTTGAATTTTGGTACCTCAAAAATGGGGGTAATTGAATTTTGGTACCCATTTAAAATTTTATTTTAAATTAGTACCTCAAAAATTACTAAAATATAGGTATCAGTACCTCCGTTAGCATTCTGTCAACTTTGCCGTTAGTGGGTCCCAGCTACCAAACTTCCCTCCCTTTATTCTTTCTCTCTCTTCGATTCTAATTGAATTCCCTCCATTATACTCTCTCTCTCTCTCACTCTCTCTCTCTCTCTTTCTCTCTCTCCCTATCTCTATTTTCCCTGTTCATCCATAATCAAAGCTCTTAACCATATGCAATTACTCCATTGTCCAAATTCAACCACAATTACTTTCTCTCTCCCCTGTCAATTGCAAGGCTATAAATTTTTTTGCCTTTTTTTTCATTGTACCTCTTCAATTGACTAAAGCTTGTGTTCTTCTTTTGACTCGAACCACACATCAGCAAGCAACTGAGAAAGGCTGTAGCTTGGAGTCGTCATCCCCATTGACAGAAGTAGGAGATTCTTCTGACAACGACCAGGTATGATTCCCTTGACTTTTTTTTACTGTCCATTAATGGTTTGTTGCGCAATTTTGTTGAAATTTGTGGACATTTTTGGAAAAAAAATAAGTAAACCCTAGATTAATGTGTTTGGATTAAATTATCAATTAAATTGAAATAGATTTAAAATTTAGTTACAGATGCATGTGTTAGGGTATTTGTGTTGTTGAAGTTACTGTATTGTGTGCTTTAGTGTAATGAATTGGTTTAGGGTGTGACATAAAGCATGTTACAATTGTTACAGTTGCTGAAATTTTCGTTAGTGATTAGGGATGTCAATATTAAGTGGATATCCACTAACCCGCTCCACCCGCAATAAATAAATGGATGAAAACCCGAATTAAATGGATGAAAAGCGGGTGACGGATGAAGCGGGTGACGGATGAAGCGGATGATGGATCGGATCGGATATGGATGATACTTTTTTCACCCACTAATCATCCACCCACCCGTTTAACATATATTAATTTTTTAATCTAAGAATTTTAATAATAAAATCTGAAATGTGCAAGAAAATTATATGTATTTTTTTGTTGCAAATTAATTTTTCAAACAATATATTGTTATTGTTTCCTTTTTAATTAATAAAATTAATAAAACTATTGTACAAATAACCGAAAATTAAAGTTATGTGAGTTTTTTTCAACTTTAATACTCATCCATTAGTCATCCGCTCCACCCGTTTCATCCGCGGATGATGGACGGATGGATATGGATGATGGGTGAAGCGGATGATGGATGGATGTGGATGGAGCGATTAGAGTAATGGATGGATGCGGGTGAAGCTCCACCCGATCCGAATCCGATCCATTGCCATCTCTATTAGTGATATAGATAAATGGTTAATTACATGCTTTGTTCCTTAATTTGTAGATTACTCAAATGGATGAGCTTGATAACACTGTTGACATTAAGATAAGACTTTTTGGGGGTTTTGTGTTTAAGAAAAGAAAAAGAAAGGGGAGTGAGTATCAAGTATATGAGGCTGGTTTTGTGTATTGGAGGTTAAATGTGCCTTTGTCATTTATAACTGTGTTGTACTTGAGATGGTTATGTGCTGAAGGGTTTAGGGAAAAGGGGTGGGCAGTCACTCACATTTATGTCCTGCGGTACAAAGAGAAGGGACAAACATGGATGAATGGAAAAAGGAGATTAGAGGATGATGAGGCTTTAAAGGGGTTTCTTGAGGCAAAACACAAAGATGGGTACTTGGAGTTGTTTGTTACTATTTCTGAGCAAAACCCCCCTGACCAAACAAATTCAGCTCAGATTGTAAGCCCAAGTCAAAATCCAAACATAAGACCACCCAAAGCCATTGAAAATCCCCCTAAAGTCAGCCCACCTCAATCTACACTTACTGAAAAAGGAACCAAACCCCAAGTTCAAGAAAAGTGCCCTGGTAAACACACTCCTAAAAAACTTGTACTTCTTTAGTGTTGAGGAGGAGCCCTAGGTGGCAACAGTCTAACCCAGTAAAAGTAAGTGATACTACAGTTAGTGAGCCATTAGTTAGGAGGAGTCCTAGGTTTTACTCAGGAAGTGAATTGAGGGTGGGAATTGATAAAGGGAAAGGGAAGCTGACTGAAGTTGCTGGGTTGGGAAACAGGAGAGCTAAATCAGAGGGGAAAGGAGGGGGTAAGGCACAAAAAAAGTTGTTCATTGATGATGAGGAGAGTGATTATGGTTCTTCAAGTGAGGATCTTAGTGATATAGATATAGATTGGAATCCAGGAGAGGAGGAAGAGGGTGATTCTAAAGATGAGGGGTTGGATGAGGCTACTGGTAACATTCTAGGTGATGTGGAAA